GATTGTAAAATGAAAGGACATCATTTTTCTAAATAATAATAATTATTAATATTTTTTAAATACTGTAGATGTGTGTTTTAAGCCTTCAGTACTTTGTAGAAGTAAATGTTACTCCTAGAGTTCAGACCAGCCGATAGTTTTTTCTTTGTTTTGGTTCAGTTCATTATTGCATTCAGTAATTTTGAGATGGTGTGAAAGACGTGCCTTTCTGCTTTCTCCATTTACTATCCATTGTTAGGATTTGTTTGCTTTTTCAATAAACATACTTTATTTTTATAAACTTAGATCTGTGTAACATTTGTTATTGAGTTGGTTTTTTCAATGTAAATGGAGGAAGAAAAAAAGAAACATAAGCTCTAAGAATCAGTCCAAAGATATCGACAACACACATCGCTGATTGGTTAAGCTGGGTCGACACTGTACAATATTTTCAATGGGTGCACACAGCTACAGCTCACACTGTACAACGAAACCTCAGAGTTTAAAAGTTCCCAGCTCACCATGTTTGTTCTCATCCTGTGTGACTGGTGGGGAGGCGGTCGCCCTATCTGCATCTGCCTAACAACCTGAATCAGTCTTTCTAGTTACTGCCGTCAAAGATTAATTTGTTTTTAGGTTTATTCTCCGTTTTTTTGAGCTGCTCCAGCTCCGTCTGACTGAATGATTATTCAAGTAAGTCTGGACTAATCTTAAACTTAAAATCGTAGGGAAGTCATATAAAAATGTCAAATAATTCTGGCTTAAACACTCTCGATCAGACGATATTGTCCTAAAAGTTAGAACATTTCAATAAAAAAAAAAATGGTTAGCAAGTTGCTTCCAGGAAACCGGCAACAATCAAAAGGCTTGCAGGAACATGCAGGGAGCAGTGAGCTGCTTTAATTCTAAAAACCGGCTGCAAGAAAACAAACGTGAAACTTACGGTGCTCAGATTCAGAAGAAGGAAACCGTTTACAGCAACTGCCTCCTTATTTAGTGAAACCTGGACAGACCTATTCCGACTCCCTCCTCATATCTAAATAACCATAGCGACTTTGTTGAACGTGAACCCTTTCCCGCCGATCAGAGAGGTTGAATTACATCCTGCACTGATGCTGCTGGATAAAGCATAATTGACAGAATACCTGTGATCAAGTGCTGCAAGGTAGCAAGTGCTGATCAGCACTTGCTACCTGTGATCAGCAGCAAGTGCTGCTAAAGCTAAAAACTGACATGAAAACCCATCAGGAACTGGGTGTGGCTCTGATGTAGGACGGAGGTACCCAGCAGGGGGTGAAGTTTTTTTTTATTAAAATGGAAGATTGGAAAATAATGTTGACTTGATATGAAGAAGGAAATGCTCTTTTAAAAAAGGCTGTTATAATAAAACTTTTAAAAGGCTTGTTAAATCCTCCATCTTTCACTGAGGTGCTCCTGTTGGAGCTCCAAAATGCCGCCTCACCCTACCCCTGTTGTCCCGGTTATCCTCCATGAAGCGCGATACGTTCTGGGGTGATATTTGGCACCCAGTTTTCTGGTGTGAGTTCTAATAACGGATCACTACTGTAGCCTCATGCTTTTTAAAATCAAACACCACTTACTACTACAAACATGGTGAGGGCCCTGCCACACTGTGACGACTTATCCAGCTTATGTCTTACGTCCCAGAATCTCCTAAAACTCATGAGCTGAACTTTCTATGTATTTTTTTTTTTTTTTTCAATTTTGGGTATATACATAGAGTATTGATAACGAGTCAGAACCTCTGTCCAATGACGGCCTAACTTCTACACGGCCGTTTTTATTCTGTGCAGTTCATAGATTAATGCTACGTTTAGACCGCATGAAGCAGGAGCAGCAAAAAACGAGCATTCTGCTTCATTTTTGGTTCTTGTACCAGTTTGAAGCATCTTTGCTGCTCTAGCTGCGCGGTGTAAAGTGGGTCTGATGTGCGGTGGGCGAAGCTACCCGATCCTTTCTCTTCCTGGAACAATGGCAGCTATATTAGCTGTGATCAGCGGGTAAAAAGTAGTTTGGATTAGAGATGTCCCGATCCAGGTTTTTGCACTTCCGATCCGATACCGTTTTTGGACTTCCGATCCGATACCGATACTGGCCGATACCAGCCTATCCGAGCATGTATTTAAGTTTAAGTTAAAGTAT